ACCGCGGCCGGCAGCTGTGGGGGTGAGAAGTGGGTGGAGATGAGGCAGGCAACACGAGCGGCCCCGCAAATGCAGCCCCAGCCAGGGGTGGAGGATGGGAAGAGAACCCCATCTCCGGACAGGCCTGTGGCTTGTAGCGCTGGGGCCGTGCGAAGCACTGGAACAGAGGGACTGCCACCCCTGGGGACTGTGAGCTGTGTCCTCTACCCCTCCACCTCTCACTTTGGCTCCATCCAGCTCAGGCAAGCAGCAGGCACGGGGCAGACGTGCAGAGGGGCAGACGAAGTGCCAGGAGGTAGACATTTGCCCAAGTCTGAGTGAATTCACCATGGCTCTGACACAGGGAATTGGGGTTTGGATTCCCAGCTTCGGGGACCTGCCCCTGAACTGGAAAATTCTCTCCCTTCTTGCCTTGCAAACCCACAGGAGGTGCCCCCGGTACCCATCCTCCTCAGGGCTGGTCCTTATCGGACAGGTTTGAGGTGGCCCCAGGCTCAGCCTGAGGGAGTCAGAGCTTCCCAGTCAGGCTGGGTTTCCTCCTGGCCATGTTAACCCGTGGGAGAACCCCAAAGAGCAAATGTCCACAGGTTGTTTCCCAAAACCCAGACCAACGGGATCCCCACCCAGAGGGCTCTGTCGTCAGGTGGGTGTGCAGGCCGGTTGGGTGGCTGGGGAGACAGCAGCATCCGCCTTGTCTTATGGACTCGGCTCCTGGGAGCTCAGCTAAGTAACAGAAGTTTGAAAACAAAACAAAACGAATCCCAAACCCACAAATTCAAGCCAGCACACTGGCTAGTGGGCTAGGCAGAAATGCACAGAGATCAGGTCTTTTGACACTGGGAGGTGTCACCCTGACATCAGGGACCACTTCACACAGACCGGAAATCATCCACTGCTCTGTTCTCCAGCTACCTAAGGACTTTCTCCAAGCCTCTCAGTGCCTCTGCCCACATCATGGACAGTCCTACAGGAGAATTCTAGAATACTGAGTCGAGTAGAACAATTTCCCCAGATAAGCTGCAACACTCTTTCTCTGCTAACAAAGAGAAAGCCAAGTAATGGACCTTGCTTCCTCCTTTTGCCTTGGCTCCTAGGAGGCTCCCAGTCAAATCTCACGCTTATCCACCACCACTCCATCAGCCCTTACTGCTCCCATCCTTGCTACCTTCAACTTGTCTCAGCCCTCACGTAAAATTTCTGTTGGTTTAGGGGCACCTGGCTGGCTCAGTCAGAAGAGCATCTGACTCGATCTCTGGGTCGTGAGTTTGAGCCCCACATTGTGTGTAGAGATTACTAAAAAATCAACTTAAAAAAAAAAACCTTTTTGGGGGCGCCTGGGTGGCTCAGTCGTTAAGCGTCTGCCTTCGGCTCAGGTCATGATCCCAGGGTCCTGGGATCGAGGCCCGCATCGGGCTCCCTGGGCAGCGGGAAGCCTGCTTCTCCCTCTCCCACTCCCCCTGCTTGTGTTCCCTCTCTGTGTCTCTCTCTGTCAAATAAATAAATCAAATCTTTTTTTTTTCTTTTGGTTTACTCTGGTCACACATGGCCTGTGTTGTAGATCATCTCAACTCCTTGTAGGAAGGAGGTGGTAGGTAAATAAACAATGAAGTTTCACTCAGGAAGGAGAGGTTGAAAGTGTGAAGTCTGGCCAACATTCTGGGGCTGTGGGAAATCCCCTTTTGATCACACCCTTGTACCCCAAATTACCTGAAAACAGAGAACAGGGCGCTTTTCTCCCCTCGCTGAAGCAGGAGGAACTGGGGCAGTCCCCACACCTGGGCCTTGCTATGCCCTCACCCCGAGATCCAGCTCCCCTGGCAAACTCTGCAGCCTAAGGACAGGAAGAAACTGCTTCTTTGGTGCCTGTTTTTCTGCACCACAGTGGGTGGGGGCCTGCCTTCAGCTACTTTCTAGGGAGCGCAGGTGTTGAGATCAGTTTCAGGAATTTAGCAGTCCAGGTGTCAGTCATAAGACGGGAGAACAGCTAAATTGGGCCCTTGAATCATCCCTACCCTGTTGTGCCTCGTGGCCCTGGTCTAGAGGCTTTAGCGAGATGTAGGAACAGAAGACCCCCATCCTGAGACAGCCAGTAGAGAATGGTGGTTAAAAGCATGGTTTGAGGGGCGCCTGGATGGCTCAGTTCTTAAGCGTCTGCCTTCGGCTCAGGTCGTGATCCCAGGCCCCTCGCGTCGTGATCCCAGGCCCCTCACATCGTGCTCCCTGCTCGGCGGGAAGCCTGCTTCTCCCTCTCCCACTCCCACTGCTTGTGTTCCCTCTCTCGCTGTGTCTCTCTCTGTCAAATAAATAAATAAAATCTTAAAAAAAAAAAAAAAAAAAGCATGGTTTGAGAGTCACATGGACCTGGGTTTGAATCCCAGCTCTGCTATTTCCTGGTCTCTGACCCCAGGCAAACCTCTGTGGGTCCCTGAGCTTCATTTTCCCCATCTGTGAAATGGGAGAATAACTGACGAGGCCAAGAGACAAGGTCCCCATAGAGTACACACTGAGTGTGGCACGTAGAGCTAGCTGCTCAGCAGTCTCTGGGGAGAATATTGGTATTGGTGGCGGCTCACAGGGTGGGAGAAGGAGTGTGCGAGCCTCAGGGTTCGTCGCTGGCAGGGACATGGCCCTGGCGGGTGCCCCTGTTCTGTGGGACTCCCATCCCCCAGAAGGCCTGATGACTGTGCACAGGGGGCCAGGGCTATCCGCAGCTCTCAGGGGGTCTTCTTAATAACCAGTGTTCTCAGCCATTAAGAAGGATAAAGAGACCATTGGAAAACGGACTTTTGCCAAAGCACAGTCAGCATGAATCCAACTGAAGAAGTCCTGACACGTGCCCCAAGCCCAGTGTGAGGACCGCCCTGCTGCCACCAGCTGCCGCCGTCTCCATCTGCCATGCCGTGAGGGTCCTCCTTCAAGCCTCTCTCCCGCTGGAGTCTCTTCTACCTTGAATGGTCTCCATTCACTCTCGCCTGCCCTTCCCCCAGCAAAATAAATGCCCCTTCTATTCCAGGAGCTGCCGGGGAAGTCCCTGGTTGACTTCTAGGGAAGTGTTCGAAAACTTCGGAGTGTGAGCAGAGGACTCCACCTGCCCTGAATCAGCCCCAGGCTTGCTCAAGTGCAGGGGCCTGCGCGCTCCCCGTGCCCGCCTGTGTGCTTCCCGGGACCTGCTGAGACAGAATCTCCACGGAGGGGCCGGGAATCTGTATTTCTAACAAGTTCCCCAGGTGATTTGGATGCACAGAAAACATAAAAACAAACAAACCAACAGTGATTTGTCTTGAATCTTCACTGAGGGTCAAAGGCCAGCTAGGGATTGGCCTGGAAAATTCACGAAGTAATCTAACTGAAACAGCCTCTATCCGTGTGTGTACCCAGCAGGACTACCCGGGAGATCTGGATTCTCGTCTTGATCTTATACCAATAAGCTGTGTTGCCTTGGACAAGTCACTTCTCCTCTCTGGGCCTCAGTTGTCTCACCGGCAAAGGGAAGGGCCAGGACTTGAGGGTCCCTGGGTCCATCCTGTTCCAACACGCTTGGAAATCCGGTTGGGACAGGCTCCTTTGTGGAATGGGAAAGGAGAATGGAGGGGTGTAAGGGGCGAGTCTAGATGTCCCATCCCTGCCTTGATGGACAGTCAACAGTTGCCACTGATGTTCCAATGGGGGCCAAGGTCAGTATCTAAATGGTGAGAAGCAGTATCAATGTCCAGGCCATGGCAGAGTGGAACCAGGGGCAGTCTGCCATTGATCCTTGGGAAGAGGAGTGAGCACAGAGAGTGGGTCTGAATGTCAGGGCTCTGGCTTGGTAGACTGGCTCAGATCCAGGTTCTAGGGCCTTAAAGAATATTGGAGAGAAAATGGGAACGCCCAGGCAAGGGCAGGGGGACTGCAATTCAGGGGGTCCCCTGACAGGATATCTCCACCGCACAGCCCTGGGGAGTGCCATCTGACAGAATACAAGGGGCACGGTGCCCCCCAGAGCTATGCCACCTGGAGGGACATGCAGGGCCTGGGGACCGGGGACACGGTCATGCATTTTGGATCCTGAACTTGGCACAGAGGACAAGTTCCAGGCCCCTTCACTACTTTGGCCAGCTGGGGCCCAGCCAGCAGTGGCAGGGAAGGATGCTTCTCCACCCCTCCTGGTGGGAACTGGAGGCCTGAGCTCAGTGCCCGGATGGCCACAATAGGCTGAGGGTTGGGTGGGGGAGCAGCAACAGGCTCGACAGGAACTTTCCTCAGATCTACAATCTGCCCCTGCTAATTACAGGCGGCCCCACTCACTTTGCCCTCTAGGGCCAGACTGCCCAGCCCCTCCCCGTTGACTCAGGAGCACTGCCAACAGGAGGGAAGGGCCCATGGAAGGTTCCAGGATGTTCAAAGGACTGGCCAACTAGGCTCAGGAGACTGGCCTTGTTTTGCTAGAAGAAATGGTTGAGAAAGAGCTTCGGAGTCCGAAAGCAAACAAGGTTCAGTACCAGACAGCGTACCAAGTGTTTTCACCAGCAATTACCTTAAACCTGAAACAACCCAGAGGTGATGTACACCATTATCCCCTTGGACACTCAAGGACTCGGGACTCAAGAAGTCACAGGGCTAACGAGAGCCAGGCTGGGCATCAACCACCTCACAGCAGATGGAATGGCCAGAAATGACCCGACCTGACCTGGGGCCGGACAACGGGGTTCAGCCCGGGAGAAGACTCGGGGCACTGGGCAGCAGGTTTATAAGAGGCCAAGAGACTTTTCTGATACTTCAAAAGGGACAGCAGCTCTCCACTTTCCCCGACTCACCCTTTGGGAGGCTCACCCAATTCCCTGGAGTTCCGGAGAGAAGCTGCTGTGTCTTCTCTGTTCAACCCTTTAGAGACCTCCTAGATTCAGAGAGGGGCCAGGTCCCAACCTGTGTTCAGCGAGCTCCCCCCAGCCAAATGTCGAGGGGCCCCTGCATGACAGACAGCTACTCACAAGCTTTCAAATTCTCTTTATTAAAAATCCTTTTTTTTTTTCCTTTTGTAAAAACAAACACTTGCGGTCAATTATACAGATCAGGAAAAGTGATGACGATTTATAAGACACTCAACAAATTCTAATACTTTACAAGTTCAAACTTAAATTAACTAGTGTTTGTTTCTCATAAGCTCAAAAAGCAAACTCTGGTCCAGTTCGAGTACAATCTAACAGATCACAGCCTCAGACTGTCCAAGGAAGGGACAGTAATGGCTGTCCTCACACCAACACCAAATCTACCAAATTCTTTGGGAATACTGCCTGTATATACTTTATTTTAGGTGTTTTATGATGAAAAGAAAATTACCTAGGCCTTTTGTTACCTTAACCCAGGGTACAAATGAATCTGTTGCTCACGGTAGCAGATGCTCTTAAACAAGCTCTTGGGGAAGACATTTTGAAATCGTTGACAAACACTGAAGAAAAGCTTTAAAAAATAAGTCCGTATTTTCCTGGTTGCCTGTAATATTGCTTTGTGTACGACACATGTAGGAATAAAAAGTGCAAATTATAGAGTGGGTGAAGGACCATGCCAATGGGATTGTATAAAAATAAATACAAATAAATACAAATATATACACAGATGCAGAATCTTAGATGATTTTTAAAGTGAAGGCTCTGATTGGATGCAGAGAGCCTCTGCTCGATCCCTCCCAGGGGCTCTCACCAGCTGTCCAGTATGGAGAAGGTCAGTCTATCAGCAAGGGAACCATCCCATTACTTGGGAATGAGGCTGTTTGAACAGCCATCCTGATTTCCATGGAAACGGTGCTGGGGGGGGAGGGGGGGGCGGGCTGGTGGGGTCGGCTTTCACTTTGCGGGAAGAAAAGACTGCCAGCCTCTCTGAAAATGCTCAGTTCCAGCCTCCGGTGGAGGTGATAGGCTCTTCCCAGCAAGGTGCCCAGAGAGCTGGCCCTGGACATCCCCTGAGTGGGAAGAATGACAAATAGGGCCAGAGGTTTTCCCAGAAATGGGGGAGGCCGGTCTCCAGAACATCAGGTAAAAACCTGTGGAGGCAGCTTGAGCTGAGCTGCCATCTTCAGAGCCCACTCTCTTTGAGACACCAACCTTTCCGAGGCCCCCGGATGGCCTCACACCGCGGTCAGGCTTCCCGCTTCCTCCAGCCCCTGACGGCGCGAGCCCAGGCTGGCTGGTTGGCCTCCGGTGCTGGCCTTCTCTGTTCTCTTTCGCAGGTTCCCTGCAACTCTCTCCTCACCAGTAACCATGTGCCCGAGGTTTACACAAGATCATTTTATGTCCTACATTTCTTCCTTCTCTGTGCCTCAGATTCACTGATAAAATGTCAGTGTCGAACTCAGATAATTTCTCTATTCTTCTGCCATTAGTGCAGAGGGCAGAATGTGCAGTATACATATCTACCACAAAAAAAATCTGATCTACTATAAAAAATGCAAAAAATAATATAAAACAAACAATCCCTTCCTAGTCTATCTATCTGCGGTCAGGAATAGAAACACAGGAACCATCTTCCCAGGGCTGAGCCAGGGAAGTAGCTCAGCTTGTGGAAACAGCACAAGGCTCCCCTCTGACCTTCTTGAGGTCTTCCTCGGGGCTGTGAGCAAGCCTCATGTCCCCCCAGCACCTCTGTCCCAAACGCTCCCAGGGGAACATCAGACTCTCTAGTCTGGGGCCTGAAGGCACTCACCTCCAGTATCAGAAAACGCTACAGGAAGAAGAGTTCTGTTCTTCATGACATTCAACACCCAGGTGTGCACACAGGGGTCCTCTGAAATGCCCTCGACCTCCTGCCCACCTACCAATTCCTGGCAATCCTCAAATGCTGCTCCTCACTCCTGCAGCCTTGCTCTTCCCTTAGTTTCTCTCTCCACTGAGAGACCAGTTTAAAAACTATCCCACTGAGAGGCTGCTGGAGCCCAGAGCGCAGGCACCAGGAGCGAGTCGAGGACAGATGCCATTGCCCTGTTTTGGGGTCTCTTGAGCCAGTGCCACACGGGGCTGGGAAGCCAGCATTCGACCCAAGCCCGTACCAACTATTGTTCTGGCGGAAGGGAGAAGACACTACTGTTTTCATTTTTAATTGAAGTGAATCTATACCAAATTCATTGTCCAGAACAGAACAAAGCTTGGCACCTCCTGAAATCCTGAGGATGGAAATAAGTTTGGGGGGCGGGGAGGACTTAATAGAGCTTCCAAAATGAAGAGCTCGTTTCCTCCTCGGTGAAAGTCATTGCTTTTATGTTAAGGCATGCATCTGGTGGACTTCTAGAGGAACTGAGAGGTTGAAAGAGTTATTAGAAACGGGGGCTTTTCAAAAAGATGGTCCCGCTGGAGGAACTCCCAGCTTCTGCCAACTGCTGGTCTAGGGGGCACCCCCTTCAGGCCTGCACGACCCGACAACTCCCCCGGCTCAGGACGCCAGGCACAGAAAACGCTCCAGGCCCCCCAAAGTGGGTCTTGACCCGGGAGTTTCCGTGAGAGCTCTTCCTTGGCCTGACCTGTCCTGTCCCATCAAGAATTTGAACACCGTGAAAATCCCTGAGAAGTTGGATTTTATGAAAAATAAATGACCCTTGGCACAGGAGGTGAGAGAGAGGGAGGGAGGGGGAAGAAGAGAGAAGCAGATTGAAGGAAACAAGAATCAGGGAGGTGGGGGGAGAGAGGGTGACCCTCAGCTGCTGGACACATCAGGTGACAGCTTCACTGAGGAGACAATTGAAGGGCATTTTCACAAGTCTCCGAGGACGAGCCGAGGCAACACGCTGGCCTGGCTTTCCTTCCTCTCTGGCTTTAGCTTCCGTCACCGAGGTCAGGAAGGCCCCACCTCGGTTCCAGCAGCATCAAGGCTTCTTCCTCTCAAAGTGCAGCACGACTCTGCCCTCCTCAGGCCTGGGGCTGCCGGCCCCCTCGGTCTCCTTCAGGCCCTCCTCGGCCAGCTGGGACAAGTACTTCTGCGGTGGGGAGAGAGGGACAAAGGGAAGGGACAGGGTCAGTGGTGACCTGGCGGGACAGGGGAGGGGAGGGGAGGGCAGGATGTACCTGGGCCCCTTCTCGCATCATGTCTCCCAGGGTGTGGGACCCCCCTCCCAGCCCTCCCCAGTCCTTCTGGGGCTACAGGACCCACGCTCAGCTCCCTCCTCTCTCTCTGTTAGTTTACAAGTACCGCAGGGCTGGCCTCGAAAACACAGATCCCAACAACGGGACCACTTCCAAGGCCCTTATCCTGTGCAAGCGCTCTTCTCTTTCCTTATAGAAACTCACTGAATGCTCACAATGACTCCACTTGTTTTCCAGAAGAGCCTCAGCGCCCAGGGGCATGTCTGCGCGTGACAGGCAGGGGGGACCAGAGGCCAGGCGGACTGGCCGACCTAGGGGTGGGGGGGGAGAGCAGCATTGTCCTGCGCGGATTGCCAAAGCCGGCTGCCGCCTCTTGTAACCACCTGTTTCCTGGCGGGCAGAAGGCAGGCTGAGAGCCCAGACGTCTGTCGCTGGATTCCTGTTCTGTAGCTGGGGGCTGCCTCATACCGCCCCGGACACTCGCTGCCATCACCACCGGCCCCCGGCCACACGGCAGGCCGCCCCTGGGATTCTAGATTCCGTGCAGTGAGACGTAACGGGCCCCACTGATTGCCCAGGCAGCAGGGGGCAGTGCAAAGAGCACTGGATTAGGAGTCAGTGGGCAAGTGGTCACATGTGTGGGCTCTGCTGCCAGACGACCCGGGTGCAGATCCTAGCTCTCGGCAGGCAAGCCACCCAGGATCCCTGCCATCTATGCAGTGTGGTTAACAACAGGAACTACCACTGTAAGGTGGCTGTGAAGTCCACGGGAGGTACTGTAAGCACTCAGCACCTGGCTCAGAATAAGTACCCCGTAATGTTGTCCTTTATCATGAGGGGCATTGGCCTTCTGACTCTGGGAAAGTACTCGTCTTCTCTCTGCCTCTGACTCCTAATCTGGTAAACGGGAGAAACAGTGCCTTCCTCCTCCCAGGGTGATTCTGAGGGTCAGATGAGGTGATGCCTGTAAGATGACCTGCTCTCTCTAGAAGAAACCGGTTGGCTCTGAGAGGTGGGTGAGCCTGATGGGGAGAGCGGCAGACCGACCGTGGGTCCCTGCGGGCCAGGCTGCTGAGGGAGGGCCTGGTTTGTTCTCCACCTCACCCCAGGAAGGGAAATGTGGGCTCACTCCTCTCTGGACCTGGAGCGGGAGGCATCTAGTTTTCCTATCTGACCTATCTGATTCCCCTCGTTGTTCTGGGTCACTCTGGATGGGTTCTCTTCGGGTTATGACCAGCAGTGGGGGCCCAGCAGAGGCTGCACAGGGAGAAAGGAGGCTGCTTCCACCTGCTCCCCTCCTCAAAGAGCAATCCCTCACCCCCACCTCAAGGCCTGCTGGTGGTGCTAAGTTTACAAGTTGCCTGACTTAGGTGTGAACCAACATTCTTCACTTTTCACACATGTAACGTGGGGTAGTGTGGGGTGCGTGAGGCTGTGTGGACAAGAGACATTCTGTCAAGGCCACTGACAGAAACCTTATCTGAGAAGCCCGCGGTGGAGGCCCCCAGCTCCCCAACAGGTGTGCCAGAGAAACCTGAACTGCAGTTGGTGGGCCTGAAAGGCTTAGCCCATGTCTGGCCCTGACGTGCCTGGGGACCACGGAAATGGCTCTGGCCTGCTCTGGGGAGGTGAGTCTGCCTGGGGAGTTGGCCCATAGGCCCAGAACACAGTGTAGTCCACTGTCCTGGAAAAAAAAATACAGGATTTAGAATCAGAGGCCCTGACAAGTCTGGACTCATCCTAACTTCTTGAGTGATCTTGAGTTGCGTGGTCTCCTTGAGAACTACACAATCCAGCTGAGAATACCACATGAGATCAAGAGCTCGCACACTGAGGTATCAGAACCTGCTATTTTTTTAAATGAGGATTTTCAGGCCCAGCCCTGGAGAGAATGAATAACGGGTGTAGGGTGGGTCCAGGAAGCTGCATGTTTAAAAATGCCAGCTGGTATGACGACCACAGTTGGGGAAAATCAGGACTAGATGATCTCCAATGCTGCCATTCTATAGGTTTTATCTTGTTGGGGTGGGGGATGATGATGTCTTCAGGGTAGACGGCCACCCTCCGCTGGTTCTGTAGAGCCCAGTCTGGATGCTTGGTCTGGTCAAGTCAGGCCTTCACTGCGCTCCCCCCGGAGAGGCCAGGACTTGGGCCCCAGGCCCCACAGCTTCCTTGGTCACAGAGTGGCTGCTCACAGAGGGAAATCAAGAGGCTTAAATGACATGAGTCCGGGCATAGCCAATGACAATCCCTTGCAGATGGTGACACAGGCCGTGCCATTATGGGTCTTGGTTTGCAAGATCAGCTTAACAGGCTAAAAAAGGGCAAGTGATTAAGAATCAGGCAATCTGTTTCCGGGCCTGGTAATTCACCATCTGCATGGCCTTGGACAAATCACATAGCTTCTCTGGGCCTCAATATCCTCAACAAAAAACAAGAGTTGGCCCATATCTGAGTCTCTTAACTAGGAATGCACATTGGAATCATATGGAGAACTTTCTCAAATTATGTATTCCTGGATCACCTCCCCCCATTCTACTGACTAGCTCACCTAGTATGTGTGTGTGTGTGTGTGTGTGTGTGTGTGTGTGTGTGTGTATATATATATATATATATATATATATATATACTTTCAAAACACTGTCCAGGTGATTCTATTTCACACCTCTGGCTGAAAAATCCTCGATCAGCCACTCTAACAATTTAACAGCAATGTCTGCTCTGGCATTAGGACATGCTGCCACCACGAGGGTCTGCCCTAGGTGAGGAGGCCGTATGTGCCAAAAAACTAGTCTGGCTCCTTGTAGTAAAAACATAAGGTGCCTTGGAATACTTATCCCTGGGCATCTGATATACCATGCTTTCTATTAAGGTCCCGAAGATCCCCCCCACACCCGAAGTTGCAACATGCTGCATGTCAGTTAGGTATATATTACAGAACTTACTACTGTCTTTCATTGATTCTAAGATGAGGTTTTCTTCCCCCACATGTTAACATCTCTGAAACTGAGACGCATTTTACAACTGATGGAGTCTCACCATTTACTTTACAACAATTTTTTTCCTATTGGTATCCAAAAAGTGGTAGTGTGTCTTATAATGGCTGGGACCTCAGACTGGGTGAAACACGGTAGTATGTTTTATATGTCCCCTGTTACTATACCATAAAACTTATTTTATTGCTTATCTCCTACACTCGGATGGAAGGTCCAAGAGGGCAGAGGTTTTTGTCTTTTGCTTGCGTGTGTGTTTATAATTTTTTTAAGTTTTATTTATTTGAGAAAAAGGGAGAGAGAGAGCAGGAGCAGGGGAAGAAGCAGAGGGAGAAGCAGACTCCCTGCCAAGCGGGGAGCCTGATGCAGGGCTCGATCCCAGGACCCTGAGATCACGACCTGGGCTGAAGGCAGACACTTAACTGACTGAGCCACCCAGGCGTGCGCGCGCGCGTGCATATCTATGTGGTTTTGTTGTTTTATCTCCAGACCTAGAACAGCATCTGGTACATAGCATGCCTCTGATAAATAGTTGCAGTGGCAGATGAACATTTGAATAGAACATAATGGTGATTTTTATTGCAGCAAACAGGGGAACAGCATGGGGGAACAGAAACAGAGAAATGCCTGCATCTAGAATATCCAGGTCTTGTGAAAAGGGGTCAGCCTTAAGCATGGGCCGGGTGATCCCTAACTCGAGTTACTCAGACCAGGGGGAGAAGCAGATACCCCAAAACCCGCCCCCAACAGAATGCTGTAAGTACTCCAGGGGAGACAGATGTCCTGAGAGCACAGGGAAGGCGCCAGCACGTGGAGCAGCAGCCTGGGGGAGACGGGCCAGGGGAAAGAGCTGTTCTCCACGTGGTGGAAGGACATCGACCGGGGAGCCCCCCGGTCCTGAGCAAGGAAGGCTCCCTTACCTGTAAGTTCCTGTAGTGGACAGCACTGCGACAGTGGCTTATCTTCGCCATCTCCTCGCTCGTGTAGAACAGCCCGCACAGCTTGCAGTAAAACCCAGTCCTGGGCACCACGAACTCCACCCCTGCAGGAGGATGGGGGATGGACAGGCAGGACTTAGGAAGATCACATGAGGCCCCTGTGGTCCTGCCAGCTGGCGGGTGGAAATGGGAGCACTGAGCTCCATCCCTCGCTTGCTGTTGACTCTGGCTGGTTATGGAGCTTCTCCAAGCCTAGTTTCCTCATCTGCAAAACAAGCCTGAGAACAGGGCCGACTCCATTCCCAGGTGGTTGTGAGGGAATGCTTCACAATTCTCTGCTCTGCAGCTGTTCCTGGGAATGGGGCCCGGACCCTTCTGTTGTCAGCCTGCTTCTAAGGAAATGAGGAGGAAGCGTTTCGTTTCTCCACGCTGTACCCCTCTCTGTAGCTGTTAGGGCCAGGACTCAGGAAGGATGCTATCATTTTTGTTTGTTTTAGAATTATACTCATTAAAGAAAACTTTAAAAATACACAAAAGTGAGGAAAAATCACTTAGAGTCATTCCAATCAAAATATTTTCTTCCATACTATCTCTATGTAGGGCTTTTTTTCGGTTAGGGGGCAGTTTTCATTGTACCCTAAGTATAGTTCTTTCTCCTCTCTTTTTCATGTAATCGTGAATCATAAACATCTTCCCATCGTCCAGTGTTTACATCTGAACCACCCAGCGATAGCATTTTACTTATGGGATTTGCTAAATAGAAGTCACAGGATTCTGGGCTGCCTTCTGATTTTGAGGAAAGGAAACGGTGGCCTGATGGCGAGAGAAGTGACGGTGTCACAGCCCAGAAGATGCATCTTCGAAGGCACGGTGGCTGCTCCAGCCTTCGCCAAGGTGTTTGGGGTCACCGTTCTCCTCCTGAAGCCATGGTCGGCAGAGTGGAAAGAGCGCAGGTCTGAGAGGGCACAGACCAGACTCCAGTAAGAACCTGTGGGAAGCTGGGGGGAGTCGGAACTGTCAGCAGAAGAGCAGGGCATCAGGGCCGTGAGAAGCAGGACCCCTTGGGGAACTGCGGGAACGGGGCCAGCGGTTCCTGCTCTCAGGCTGGGGGGCTGGTGTGTGCGCGCCCGCACTTGGCTGGTCTGCTGCCCACCTGCTTAGCGCCCGTGGCCCTGTGGGGGGCCGGGGGCCTGCAGCGGGTGGAGGGGGGCCCAGGGCAGGGGGCCGCCCTCCAGGGGGACTGCGGCCGCTTCTGGCAGAGAGGGAGACCGCCCAGGGCTCCATCAAGGCGCTGCGTGGGACCACATGCCTGGGCTTCCTTCACTTTCCTCCTGCCGTGTCCTGTGGGACAGAGACCCTGCCATTGAGCGGCCGCTTAGACTTGTAATTACAACTTTTTTTTTCATTTCAAAAGAGCCACTTATCAGTGTGCAGCGGCCAGCCTGGACGGAGGCGGGAGCCCGGGAAGCCTGCCCAAGGCCTGCTTTGACTGATTGCTCCTCTGTGGTCTGGGCCTGGTTTTGGCAGCCTCCTCAGCCAGTTTTCTCTAACTGCCACGCAGCTCGCTGCCCTGCCCACAGCAGCCCCCAGAAGGGAGGGGGCCTCTCTTGGGCCCGCTGCCCAGAAAGAGGCTGTGCCCTTGCCCCCCTCACCTTCCTCCCACCCCCACGGCAAAGGACCGAAAAGTGGGCCCTGCTCTGCCTGTGGGTGGCTGGCTGGCCCCTCCACTCACTCACAGGGCCGCAGCAGAGGAGCCGTAAGCAAGGCCTGCCTTGGTCCTCTGTTCCCACAGAACAGTTCTCCCCAGCCTGCTCTGTAGGGAGATGTCCACACAAGACAAGATAAAGGCCACTGGGAAAGGAGACGCACCACCCGGAGGCCACACGGAGCAGACACAGGCCTGTGATCAGAGCCGCTCCTTCTATCCTGCCCCAGACCCTGCAGGAGGGGCCAGTGGGTGGTCCCAGCAAAGAAACCTTGGGGTTTCATGGCAGGGCCCCGGTAAGGCCTCCAGCATCCTCCAGGTTTTCCAAGAGGCCTTCCAGCCCATGTCCTGGGTCCCCAAGAAGGGGCGCCACTGCCTCAGAAGCCCCCACAGAACGTAAAGCAGGGCCTGAGCTGTGGGCCCTTTCGACCCAAGCGGCACAGCGGCCATGTGAGGGGTTCTGGGTGAGATTTCTGGAACGACGACTTCCACTGCCCCCCCGCCCCCCAAAAAGGCTTGGAAGCCACAGTATAGTGGAGAGAAAATGGAATTTAGAGTCCGAAAGATCTAGCTCTTTTACGTACACTGTGTGACCGTGGGTACGTTATTTAAACTCTCTGAGATTAGTCTCTTCATCTATAAAATAGAAATAATACTCCCACAAACGGTGTTATCATTTTGCCTGGTGCTCAAAAAATATTCGTTTCCTGCTGTGGGTTAAACATTTCTCCACAGAGGCCTTCCTGCCCCCTAACCTCGGCCCGAAGGTGGGCAGCAACCCTTCCCTGCCCCCGCCTGACGTCCAGCCGTGAAGCGGTACCAGGTGCTTAAAAGCACTGAGGAAGGAGAAGTCTGAGGAGGATCCCCAAACGCCTGGCAACCCCCCCCCCAGTAACTGAGGGTTGCCATGGGCACCACATGCCAACACCACCTCAGGATGCCTCTGGAATGGGAGGGCCAGAACCGAAGAAAACTCTCACTGCCCCAACCCGTCTGGAGCCACTCGGTCCTCCCATTTTTCAGCCTCTATTAAGCATGACAATTAAAGCTGTATTTGCTTTCTAATAATAGCTCCTGGGCCGGGTAATTACAACTACATCATCCTAGCAAATCCTGTGATGGGTGGAGGGGGAGCTTGCGTTTTGCAGGCAATGCCCTTTGGTTCTGGAAGCGCAGACCTTGGCAGGCTCAGGATGGCTGGGGTCACTCAGAGCTGGCCTCAAACCCATGGGGCTGAGCCGTCTCTCCGTTCCCCCCACCCCATGTCCACCCCATCCCCCGAGCACTGGGACCTCACCTCCCTTTACTCTGGATCCTTGGCACTCCCCATTTGCCTCCCTGCTCTCCACAGGGACAAAGCCTGAAGGCTGTTCCCTCCCTCCCTAGAAGTCTCTGCAGGAGTGCTGGATTCTGGAGCATAAGGGGCATGCAGCCCCAGTGAGAGGAAAGAGTAGGGCTCAATAATTACTTCATGAACGAGTAGTAACAACAGAGAACCCTCCTCCTGGAAAACACTCAGACGTTACACGTATTCACTCATTTCCTCCTCAAACTAACTATACATAGTAGGCTTCTATTACTACCCTTAGTTATTGATGAAGAAAGTCAATAAATCAATGAGGAGAGCTGAAAAGGGTCGCTCTTTGTCCCCTAGTCAGCTGAGACATAAACCTGGGGAATCAGATTCCACAGTCTGTGCTCTTAACCGCTGCACAAAAATTGCCTTTCCTACACTGTGCTTCCTGAACTAGAGGGACAGGAGGGCAGAGTGGTCTCAGATTGGAAACCCGGAGCTCTGACCTGACCTTGCTGTGTGACCTTGGGTAAGCATCTGCACTTGTTTCCTCTCCTGTCAAATGTGGAGAATGGTGCCATACCCCCACCCCCTAAGATCAATAAGATAATGGGTCTCAAAGCTCATCGAAGACTACAGGCAATACAAAAGCACAATCTGTTACAGCCCCAAACTGGAAACAACCCAAATGCCCATCAAGGGCTCAAAATAATTATGCTGAGTGAAAGAAGTCAGGCAAAAACCCTATATTCCAGATGATTCCCTTTGGATTCAAACTCATGTTTAGTGACAGAAAGCAGATCAGTGGTTCCCTGGGGACTGAGGTGTGGGGAGGGAGGAATGACAAAGGAGCATCAGGAAACTTGGGAGGTGATGAATACGTTCACTATGTTACTGTGGTAATTAGTCTCCCAGGTGTACACATACATCCAAATTGATCAACCATACACGTTAAACATGTGCACTTCTTTAACATCAATTATACTTCGTTAGAACTGTTTTTAAAAAGCAGAACAAGATACCATTTTCCTAACAGGTTGGTAAAGATTCAAAACTGATGACGTCCAAAGTTGGTAAGGAAGCAGAGAATGAGAATTCTCACTCCGGCAGGGAAAACTGGTATAATCTTTTTGGAGTGCAATTTAGCAGCAATTATGAAAAGATGAACTGCGAATATACATCACACCACAACCCCCACTCCCCGCTCCCAGTCTAGGACGCTGTCCTGCAGAAACCCTGGCATGCACACAAAGGTGACGGCATGTTTGGAAGGCAGCAGAGCATAGAGGAAGCATGGGCCTATGAGTCAAACTACTGGGATTTGAATCCTGACTCCAGTCTTTGCGAATCATCAGCTTTGTAACCCTGCATCTCAGATTTCTAACTTACAAAATAAGGATAAAAATATTATCTACCTCATAGGTGTTTTGAGAGAGTTAAATAATGAAGTAAGCACTAGAAATGGTGCTTGCATGGTAAGTGAGAAACATAAAAGCTTAACTCTTACAGCATTTTAATAATGGGGAAAAACTGAAAACATGCTAAATGTTCACCAGTAGAGAAATGGATAAGTAATTTATGGTACATCTTTTAGAGGGCAATATTTACAATGGTTAAGAAGAATGCATTGTCTGTATACTGACGTGAAAAGGTCTCTGACTCCCACTGTTAAGTTAAAAAAGCAAATTGTAGAACATTCTGTGTATGGTGTGACCTAGTCTCTGTGGGTATGATCGTGACTACCTCTGGAGCTGGGGAGAAACTGGAGTGAAGAAATACAATATTTAACATTGACTTTACGTGGCTCTTATTTTTTACACTTGTCATAATAATCTATCACACTTTTTGGAATGAAAAACAATTTTTAAAAAGACACAAATGACAAGGTGGCAGAACTTATTCTTAATTTTTGCTTGTGTGGGTCGCACAGATTCCAAGTTCTTGGATGCCAAGAGACTTGTGTTACATTTCTCAACTGCCCCAGAGTGCCCTGCATGGTGCCATGTTGTCTAGAAAGTGCTGCCCAGTAAAAATGGGTACTCTATGAAAATGGAACATTTGGAGGGCAGAAACAGTAAGAAATGTTTAAAAGGAGATGAAAAGAAAAAGAGAAACCTGATGGAAAAGGTGAGCCTCCATATTGACCAGCCCCTCCCTGAGTAAGCAGACGTGTGGTCATCAGTCCTCACATAACCCATCTTTCTCGTGCTTCCTTGGGACGCTTTCCCAAATGACGCCTTCCTAAGCTCTCTCTCCAGTGGCTGTTACTACTCCTTTGTCTCATTGCTTTCCAACCTCTCAGAGTCAATGCAAAGACTCAAAGACGACGTGGAGTGGGAGTCACCGGGTTAGCGGTGGTTATCAGAAGCTCCCAGGGTACTTTATCGAAGTAACTTCACTCCTTACCCTGAGGTTCTAGTTAACTCTCCCCTTATAAATGTGTCCTAGGTGATTCTATTATTAACCTCCCTTCCTGCACCCCCCACCACTTCTGCTATTGCAAATTCCACTATGGAATTGATCTGATTCAATTCCATATTACAGGTGAAAAAAACTAAGGCTCAGGAACCCCACTGAGGCCTCTGCATTTGCACATTCCCTGCCCAAAGCCTGAGCCACCTCCTTCTCAGTGCCTCCCACCAGCTGCACCCCTGGACCCCCAATCTCCATTCTGCCTCTGGCTGGGTTGCCTTCTCTGGCCAGGTGGGTTCTGACAGTACCTTCCATTCCCAGGGCCTCCGATAAAAGTATTTTTACATCTCTCTCTCTCTCTCTATTGACTTGTTAATAAAGGACTTGTAGTGACTGGAAAAAATAAAAACCAAAATACACTCCTGGGTATGACTTGTCTGAGGTCATGCAGTCAGTCATCCAATAAGTGAAACAGGAAGGAAAGGGGCCCAGGTCTCTCTCTGTTCAATGCTCCCTCTACCAAATACAGAGTGTCTCCCCAAATGCAGTCTCTTCAGCATCATTGCCTCAGATAAGCTGGTCCTTCAAAGAGGAAAAAAATGTAGCATTGTCTTGGGAAGGGCTGGGGCAAGGAGGGTAGGGAAGCCAGGAGCAGAAGTTCATTTCTGTTGACTTTGGGCGGCCACTGGGGCCTCTGATCTCTGCCTGAATAAAGGCTGTGTGGTCAGGAATAAAGCATTCCCGAACAGGGAAAGCGAGTTTCTCTTTGCTCTGGCTCCCAGGGCAGTCCTGTCCAGGGCCTGACGCCATGAGGTATCAGCTCTACTATCGGGAGACTGAAATTGCAAGAAACCTTCAAGATACGCACCATACCTATCCCGGTTATTACATCCGACGTTAAACACAACAACAAAATGACAAAAAAGCCCTCGGGACCTCTTAGATGTTACCATGGCGCTATCATTTCCTGGAGCTGAATGCTCAGGAAGGACTGTGTACTTCACCTACCTAGAGGAATGCTAAGTTCACTGAACACATCCTCTGGTTCCCAGGAAGGCAAAGAGAGGGGCTGTTTCAGCTCCACTTCGGTGTATTCCGGTGACCTCACGTCCAGAGATTTCATTTCCACGTACTTGGGGTTGTCTGCAAAACATGGGCCAAGGTAGAGAACTAAGGAAGCACTATGTACTTCAAAGACTCTGCCATCCTATTCTTGCACTGTGTGATCAGGCATGGTCCCTCGCACTGCTTAATAACATGAAGCAAGGGCGAGGGCTGCTAATTAGAGCCCAAACGCTGTAACTGAGAGTTTGTTCCCCTGCCAAAAGGATGCTCCCCCCACACGAACCCTCGGCAGCTCCGCGCCTTGGGTCCGTGGGGGATGGGCTACTGCCTCCTTCGGTTGGGATGATCCCCGCCTTGCCCCCCAACTCAGAAATCACTCCCTCTCCGCAGGCAGGAGGATGACCGGTGGCCACACATTGTGCTGACGCGTCTAGGTGCAGAGGTTGGTGCAAAAGGCAATGCCACGTTCACCCCAAGCTTGTTGAGCGGTGTTATTAAATACGAGCTCCAAACACTGGGTAAGCAAGTCAGCCATGAACACCAGTGCGTGTTGAGACCTATACGGCAAAATAAAGGGGTTCAATCGGGGCACGGTGAACGTTTTGCTCCTTCTCCAGTCCTGCCTTCCGGAGACCCAGCCCGGGCCTCCGCGTTGCTCCGGCAACCAGGCAGGTGCTCAGGGCAGTTTCCATGGAGACTCGCAGGTGAAAAACAGCTCAGGTCAGCCCGCCATGCAGGAGAGCCTGAGTATCCAGCAGCCGCCAGGCTCATGCCAGCCCCAGGGCGCGGGGCGGAAGGTTTCTTTTCAAGCCTCTACTCCACGGTTTCTGTCCCCGACTCTGGTCCCCCTCCCTGCCACCTTCAACGTGCTGCAGGCCCTCTGGGGAAGGAAGCGCTAGTTATTTTCCCGCGGAGAAGGCTGAGGGCTCCTTCTCCCCGCACCGTAGCCCTTGCCGGATCTTTGTTCCCTCTTGGCAGAGAAGACAGGGCTTAGCCTATTTTAAACTCTGTCTCTCATGATGGCATAGCGCCGGGCACCCACAGCATCACCTGCAGCGGAGGCGGAGGACAGCCTGGGACAGGCCTCGCCTCCCCGTCAGGCCGTGGAGACTGAGGGGGTCTGCACTGGGAGCCAGGGGAACGGGCCATACCTCCCGGGAGCCCCCCACCCCCCGTCCCACCCTCTGCCCGCTCGGTGCTCCTTTCTCGCCTCCTGCTCTCCTGACCCCTCCCCCGGGCTTCACAGGAGTAACAGCCCGGGTGGTCCGCCCTTGGGCAGGCTTGAGAGGCCGTCTGCTAATCCAAGGAACCAGAGCCCCTTGGCCTGATGATTCAAAGCTTTCGCTGATTTTAGTTGTCAGGGTCTATCTGGGCTCCCGTAAATTCAGAGAAGTCTATCCTGTCTGAGTTTGCTTCTCAGAAAACATGTGGCCTCCTATCTGATTTCCTTCACACCATTTGCCAAGAAGCGCTAACCGTTTAACCAGGCCTTTGGAAGCTGGCTTTCTGCACCAGCTTCTTGAATGCTGGTGGAAACCTTGCTCATGTTCGTTCCAGCCTGCACGTGCCCGCACACCTCCCTAGGTGAGCAGTCATCCCATCAACCCAACCGCACGGGAGGAAAGGGAGGTAGTTACCCTGGGTCGACACTCCTTGGCAAGCCTGGTTTTGGAGGCTGGTGTCGGTGCGAGGGCTGGCTTTCCCCTCCAGGGGGCTGCCTTCACAAGCCCCGTCTTCAGGGGTCCCCCTGGCCTTGCAGTCATCGAGAGGTGGGCTAGGCTGCCGGGCCCCCTCCTCTGCTGGCTCGGGGGAAGACATTTGCTGGAGTGGAGGGGCCAGACGCACATCGGAACGCTCCCCTCCCTCTGCCTGCTCCTCGTAGCAATCTGAACCCTCCAGTGAGTGGCCTGTCTTACGTTCAGCTGGCTTCCGCTCAGTGTCCAGATTTAGGCCAGGCATTTCCACGTCCATGTCACTGGGACAGCTCATGGGGGCAAAAGGCAGGTCTTTGGGTGTCTTGAGGCTGATTTCCGTGGCCCCGTTCCCTACAGGCTTCACTCCCTCGTTGGTGAAATCCTTGGCTACGTCCAGGTCTAAGGTGGTCATCACACAGGGACATATTTCTGGGCAGATTTTGCCCTTCTGATCAATGGGCACAATTTCTTCCAGTTCTGGGATGTCTGGTTCCATAATAAAATCTTCCTCCTCACCAACCTCGTCCACTGTAACAAGCTCCTCCATGTTGGTGGGGTACCAGCTCTCCCCTTCGGCCTCACTTCCACTCTCCCACTCTTGCTCCTGAACAAACATGCAGAAGAAAGGTCAGAGAGTGACGGAGGAGCAGGTCTTGGTATTCAACCAGAGGGCGCAAACCTTGACCACTGGGCCCCTCTAATCAGAAAGATCCTGAGCACTCGGGCTTCTGCCTGGGAACACTTACTGGGTAATCAGGAGCTGTAAACCACTCAAGTCCCACATCGCTGATTCATCCCTAGGATGAGGCTCAAAAACAGCGTTTAGAATCAGCCCTTAATGCTGAATCTACCACGTTTAAAATGGCACAAAGAATTTCAAACCCTGGTGTATAATAGGTGCTCAACAAAGTTTTTGAATGAATGAATGATAACGTTATAAACTGTAAATAAATCAACTGGCTGGAGCTATTTCCTTGCATGAAGGCCATCACTAAATGGAACTGTAGCCAAGTCCCCCCTCAAAAGTCCCCCAAGCTCCCTTTCCCACAAGGGTGCAACTTTCATAGCCATGGCTCACACTTGGCCCCTCCTGAAACTCTGTCATGTCCCCAGGAGCCAGATTTCGGAGATCAGCCTCCTCGCCAGCAATACTCATCTCTCCACCTCTCCTGACCAGAAAGGCACAAAGCTGGCCACGTTCCAAACATGTTTCTTTTTGCTGAGGCAGCCACAGCACTATAACTGGATTTTTAAATTTTAATTAAGTAAAATAATCTTTACAAGCGCAGTAGATGTTTTTTTAATCCCAGGGTCTGGGCATGCTGAGGTCAGGGCCCTAGCTTGAGCATCCGAAGCTCCCCTCTTCCCCCAGCCCCTCCCAAGGGAACTATTCTGGGAGGCTGGCTCTGAAGCCTGAGTCTTTTTTGGGCACATGTTTTCTCTTACGAGTGCTGCCAAGGTGCTGGAGACTGAGGCAGAGCCCAGGCATGCAGTAAAGATCTCCTTAATAAAGACTGCAGAGATCCCAGGCAAAACCATTCTTCCAAGAAGTGCTGGCTTCATTCGTGACAGCCCAGGTGGGGTCTTGGACACAGCCCATGCAGCGAGTGGGGCATCCCAGGGCAGGATGGGGATGCCTGAGACGCGGTGCCCACGGGCCGTCATGCAGATGTGGCGGTCCTGCCAGCACCTGGAACCAAATTTACCTTCTTTGCCCTTGTGTCTTCTGCATCTGAGGACTCTGTTTCTTTCTCCTGCCTGGTTGCTGATGAGGTGCTTTCTTCCATGCCCTCCTGCTCTTCTTTTCCAGCCTTACCAAAAAAGAACAGAACAAACCAAATCAACAGAGGGGTGAGCAGGAGCAGAGGAGAGAGGGAGGCCAAGAGAGAAAACAATGCAGCTAACGGTCATCAGGTGTGTCTCACAGGCACATTTCCTTGATCCTCACCAAACCCCTCGGAGGCAGGTGCCTTGCCTTTTATAGATGAGGAAATGAAGGATCAGAGAGGTTAAGTAACTTGCTCAAGGTCACACAGACAAGTGGAGGCACGGAAATGTCTCAGTGGTTGGACTGATATCTTTAGTGGGGCAGAAATCTCTGGCAAACTGGGTATTTTTGCAGTTGTGAAACCTACAGGCAGGGAGGGTGAGTAAAGGGACCAAGGGTAAACTGGCCCGGGGGTTGACAACCATCGTGTGACATCTCCCCAAAAGATCTGTTTTGGCCATAAAAATCACATCCGGGCCACTTATGTGTAGGAAGTGGGTTGTTAGTCAACCAGTGCCCCCCTCACCCCTTTTTTGTCTTCTCTCTGACCGAGAGCTATTGCCCAAATTAACAACCCCCTTCCCTTCTTCCTTCCTTCTATTCCCTCCCGCAAATTCAGTCCCTCATGAGAGTTAGTGCTCATGTCTGAGAAATTGAACAACTGAAAGCAGGTGTTTGGTTTGGGAAATTAGGGTCTCTGACCAGCCTGAGAACTGGGGTCAGCAATCTATCATCCTCAAGCCAATCTGAACCAGTGCCTCTTTTTACATAATCTGTGAATTAACAAGGCTTTTCAAATTTTAAATAGTTGCATTTTAAATGACTACATAAGTACCCACATAATATCTTCACTTTGGCTTCTTGGCCCACATAGCCTAAAATATTTACTGTCTGGTGTTTTGTAGGAAAAGTTTGCCAACCCCCATTTTAGACGTTTTGGGAGGATAGTCTCCCATGACTTCAACTTTGGCCACCAAATCAATGACTCTTTCTGGAGTTTCTCAAGGGCACATTGCATTCTCTCAACAATTTTGGCTGAGGTTGGCTCTAAGTAAATGACTCTAGTTCTGATTTCTTATGAGCAGACACACCCCTCTTGAGTTGACAAGGAGCCAGCTGGGGCAGGAGCTCAGGGTTGACTGGTTTAACCAGTTATTACCAGACACGAGAAGAGAGTTGAAATCCTCATGTCCTTGCTCCTTCTGGCATTTGGAGCAGAAGATTCCACTGTAAGCTGTGCTCTGGTCTTCTAAGCTAACCCAAGTGCAAAGCAGCTCCAAATGCCTTTTTAGCCATCAGAATCCATAGCGTCTACCAACAGGAGACCTCTTTATTTTATCTCCCTGAATAAACTCTCTATGGCCCTCCCTTGTCCAAGAAAGTAATCCTTACCCTCCCCAAGCAATTCCTACAGCCACACTCCTAGGTTAACACTAGATAGATGGGAATCTATCTAACACTAGATAGATAGAGGAACCACCCCCCCCCACCCCCCCAAACCCCCAAGTCCAAACTGGGAGAGGCAGGGACAGCATGGCTGGCAGGAAGCATCTTGCCAGTAGGATGGCGGTGCTTCCTCCCTGCAGACAAAGGAAACGGAGAAGTGCCTTCAGTGCACCCTGTGCCCTGGGATCATGTGAGAGCAGCAGCTTAAGGGAAACCAACAAACGCAACCAATGCACCCAGCTGTCCACACCAGCTCACAGATGAAGATATTAGGTCTTAACTGTTGCAAGCAGAGCTCTGCCTCCACAGGGCTAGGGCTACTGATAAACACCTCCTAAAACTGTTCTCCCCCTTCTGCTCTGTGGCCTCCTCCCAAGTCTGTTCTCCCCAAGGCAATCAAGAATGATCACTCCAAAATGCAAAAACTATCATAACCTCACTGTACCTTCTTGCTTAAATATTTCATTTGCTCCCCCTTGCACTTGGGATGAAGACAAAAATCTGTAACCTGCCTACAAGGCCTTGCATGATATGACCCCGTTGACAAACCAGACATACCTCCCACCATTCTAACCCTGGCTGTCTCTGTTCCAGCAACACTGGCCTTCAGCCACAGGGCCTTTGCACATGTTGTTCTATCTGTTCTCCTTCTTTTTCACTCAGTGAAACCTACCATTCCTTCAAATCTCAACAGTCCCATCCTAACCCAGGGAAGCCTCTGATTCATCACAGGCATTAACAGCACTGCATACCTCCATCGCCCTCTTAGCACTCAACATGCATGCTCTTCTACTCATATGAGCAATTGATTAGTATGTCTTTCCACTAAACCATGAGCTTCATGAGATCAGGAGTCATTTCAGCCTTCACTCAGAACTGTAGTCCCAGTACTAGGTGCTCTGTGGACATCAGTCAATAGAAGAATGGAGACCTGAAGGCTTTAAGGAGGGGGTGGAGTGTTAACTAGCTCACACCTGCCTCTGGCATGCTTGGGTCTCTGTCTAGGCTCCGAACTAAGCATAAATAGTTTTTCTATTTCTCCCTCCTATGGACTGTTTATACTGGGGGCTGCATTCTAGGGACCCCTGGGCTCCACCTGGCCCACAGACATGTTTTGGCCTATACAGTTTCTAAAATGTGGGAAATTCCACAGATATCTGGACTTTGGTGCTGCTCCTCAAAAAGTGGGGGCTCTCACAGCACAGGGCATGCAGTCCGGAATGGCAGCCATGAATTGGAGCCAAGCAGTGGCTAACTGCCCCCGACAGGTACCTCCTCCTCGGTCTGCCATGGCCCCCTCTCTCCACGTTGGCTTCACTCCTAGTATCTGGTCTACATCCCCTGCCTGGCTTCCCTTCTCCAAGCACCTGGGTCTGTAACTCTTGATCGCCCTTCTTTCCCATGTCACCGTACTCAGCGACTTGATTTCTCTCCTTCTTTCTGTGGTCTTGTGGTCAAGGCTGGGCCCCATGTGTGGACCTGGCCACCCACCAACACTGAGCAGCCCACGCACTGGCCTCTCCACGGCACTTTCTCCAGAGATCTTAGAAATTTCAAATGAGCACAAGCTCATTAAAGTCCTACGACAGCCTTGTGATCACACTCATTTCACAAATGAGAAAACTGAGGCAGAGCAGAACAGGGTGTGACCTGGTTCTCAGAAGCCTGGCCTGTCTCCAGGGTCCAGGTACAGTCATTCCTTTCTTCCTTCAACAAATACTTACTGAACACCTGCTCTGTGTCAAGCCCTGATCTAGTGAGCACTGCAGGCAAAAATTCCTGCCTTTGTGAAGGTTACCTCTGGGGGGTGGAAGAGATAGACACTAAATAAAGACAGACATCAAGGGATAGCTTGGACCAGGAAAGGTGAGCAGAGAAGGAAGGGAAGCAGGTTGGGACATTGTGGTTTTATGTAGAGGTATTTCTGGCCAGGAATATACTTGGGGTGAGCATGACAACAAGTAAACACAAAGGAGGGGAGGAGGGAGAGAGGCAGACTTCAGCAGGGCGGGGCGCCTAGGCAGGTGAACACATGTAAAGGCCCTGTGGTGGGAGGTGCCCAGTATATTAGGAGAAAGGCAAGGACACCGTCCTCAGCCCTGCTGCCTTCCAGCTCCAAGTTCAGTCACTGAATTCATCTGACTCCTGGGGCAGCCCTGGGGGGTTGGGGTTGTTCTCAAGATTGTGATATACAGTTTGACATCAGTGAGGAAGACTTTGTTCTGCTGATATTCCACCAACTGGTTTTGGGCTTCCTGGCTCCGAAACCACAGAAACAATCCGTTGGGGACCCCAACAAGTCCCTACTGACCCCACTCTAGGGCTATTAGAGGCAGAACCAGCCAGAGAGACAGAATTTGGGGAAGCCCATGGGGCTTTCTGGGCATCTTTTTTTGCATCAGGGCTCTGGGATGACCCACAGTACGTGTCACCTTAAAAGGGCAAACCGATAAAAGCAAGTGGGTAAAACAGTAGGAGCAGTAAGCTTACTGAAGAGGAATAGCAGAAGTATGGGTAGGATTGGGAGGGGGCAGCTCCACTCCTTTGCCATGGGGACACAGGGTTCTAGGCTGGTGGCATGTGTATGAGGTCCAGGCTGGAGCCCCTGCCCAAGGGGTTGTTGCTCTCTGCCCCTCTGAGCCTCTTCTTGAGAGGATGGGCACTGACCCATCATTAGCCCCTTAGATCCCTCCAAGCATAGACATGCTTCTTAAAAACATCCTCTGGTTCACAGGTCCTCGGGATCCAGTTCAAGTCCTCAGCGAGGCACACGAGGGTCTTCCTGGGCCCACCCAGGTCCCTAATCTCATCTCCTGAGCTCCCCCTGCTCTTCCAGTCAGGAGAAACCATGGCAGACTTTGAGAATGGGCAAAAAGACTACAGGGTGTTCTTTCCATGGAACGCTGGGCAGTTCGTTGTCTAGCACACCCCTCCAGGAGGTCTGGTCCCACAGGAGTCTGCACTTTTCATTATCGTGAGCTGAACTATTTACAACCCTGTAAACTGCAGAAGACCGAGGGTAGTGCAAATGATTCTCGTTCATAGAGATGCAAAGGAATTTTATCTGGTGGAGATGCCACTTTGGAAGAGGCCAGTTTTCGATCTGTTAGCAAATTCACTTCCGCGTTCCTGATCGCCTCTCCATGCTGCCTGCTCTCTGGATTCTCCTCTAGACCAGCGTTTATGTCTTCCTGGCTCCCTCATTAATTCGTGAGTTAAATAACATCTTTGACATGTATTCATTTTCTGTTTGCACGAGAGCCATGATTTTACTTTTTAAAGACGTTATTCTTTAATATGCCCTAAAGATGCTGCCACGCCGCATCTTTATTTATTTGCAGGTTCTTTTTTTTTTTTCAAGATTTTATTCATTTATTTGACAGAGGAAGATACAGTGAGAGAGAGAACACAAGTGGGGGAGTGGGAGAGGGAGAAGCAGGCTTCCTGCTGATCAGGGAGCCCGATGTGGGGCTCGATCCCAGGACCCTGGGATCATGACCCGAGACGAAGGCAGACGCTTAACGACTGAGCCACCCAGGCGCCCCTATTTGCAAGTTCTTGAAAACAGTCTTCCCTTCTCGCTTTTGCCCTCGCTGCTTCCCAGATGGCTTTTTCCCCCTACTTTCAATGCCCAGCTCACATGTCACCTCCTCTGTGAAGCTTCCCCCTCTCCTTGCACAGAGGGAAGGCCTCTGGAGCAGCTCATCCACTACTCTGCTCCAGCGTGGGCCCCACTGAATGTCAATCCTTTTGTAGCTCTCCTTCCACCATTAGACCTGGGTCTCCACCACAGCATGGACCCTGTCCCATTCACCTCTGGACCTCCCCCCACCCCCCCACCCCCCCGCGCTGCACCTAACACACTACCTGGCCAAATAGCAAAGTGCATACAAGAGTAAATGCAGTAGTGGACAAAAGGGTGACTCTTCAGTGTCCATGGAGTTGAGAATTGGGCTCTTATTTCGACTTAGTCCCTGTCACCAAGTCCTGGGTCAGACTAGGAGATACGCATGTAGGATTTTAAAAATTGGGTTCTTTATGCAGACCCACCCCGCTCCCCAACCTCCACTATCCCGCTCCTACTTAAATGGAGGTGGTTTGGGCAAGAAGGAAGTGTAAGCCCAGTGAGAGTGTGAATTTTGTACCCAGAGTCCTCACGACCCACCGTGTGAACTGAAGTTATGCAGTACATTATAAGCCCTTTCCGACGCGTGGATGAAAGGTACCAGCCAACTGCCGAGCACTTTTATTACAGTGGAAGTAACTGTAATACTGGAATGTGGACACTGTCCAGAGCACCACACCAAGCCCTGGACACCCAGAGGACGTTAGAGGGTGGGGGCTGCTTCTCTTTACCACCTCTCATCAAACTCCAGGGTCGGCAGATGCTTTTGGCAGGAGAAAGGATGCATCAGACCAAAGATCTCATCTCCCTGGGCAGAGTCTGTGGGTGCCAACACCGTGGGGCCCCTCTCCCCTGGACACACACAGGACCCCAGAAGGCCTTTGCATCACATCGCTGCCTAACTTCCAGCAAAGGCAGCAGCGTGCCGAGGGATTTGGAGTCCCATCGCTCTGCTGTTTCTGGACTGTGTGTCCTTGGGCAACTAACTTGGGCTCTCTGTGCCTCAGTTCCCTCATCTCTAGCCATAGTAGTATTAGTACCAATATTACCTCATACGGTTGCTGTGAAGATTAAATACCTTGATTGAGATAAGGTGTTTAGTCCAGTGCCTGGCACGGAGTCAACTTTTAGTGTTTCATTCATTCAATAAAAGCGCATCATCATTATATTAATACTGCCCTGCTCGGGAACCTGCCTCTCCTTACCTGGGGAAGAGATTGCGTCATTACCTCGTTCCCCGCCATCCTTTCTTTTCTGTCATCAGCTCCTCCTTGGTCTCTGTCGGGTCTCTTGGTTCTGTTTTTCTCACTCTGCTTAGACTTGGTGCTCTCAGGGACGCTAGTGACCTTCGGCTCCAGCCCGTCTTCCTTGCCTGAGTCCTCGGGGTGGGGGTGTCTGCTGTCCCACAGTCTGGCCTCCTCTTTCCTCCTGGACCTCCCAGGAGCATCCTGCTGTTGCTTTCCATACTTGTCCGATTTGCCTTTGGGCTCCTTCCGGTAGTAGCCGTCTTCTCGGCTTTTGTAGCCCGATGCAGAGTGGAGCAGGGTGGGGGACCCAGGCCTCAGGTGCTTTTCTCGGTGGCTCATCCTTCCTTCGAGCCGCTCCTCTAACTCGGCTTTTTCCAGTTGCCAGGAGTAGTGTTTGCGATCGTGTGGCCACGTGTCTGCCCTGTCCCTCTTGTCCTCCCCGTTCTCCCTCCAGGGGCCCGGGTCTCGCTCTTCCTCCCTCCTGGCATAGGGTGAGTGCTCCCACGAGTCCCGGCTGTTGCCCCAGTCGGCCCGGGTGGGGCCCAGAGGGCTGTGGGAAGAGCTGCAGGAGGTGAAGCTCGGAGTGTGGGACCTCGGGGATAGTGACCGGCTCATCGGACTGCGAGACCGTGGCCTTTCTGGGCCATATCTGTTAGGGAGCAAAGGAGTGGGTTTTAGAATCTGCACGTCCCCCAGCCCCCATGCACAGATACACCCCAGTCCCTCACACAGACATACTGCACACATAACTCTGTGTGGCCATATGCTCTTCACAACAACCGTACAGACAACAGAGTGGTACAGAAGAAAGCTTTTCCTCCCTCTGGGCTTCTAAGAGGAGGGATTTTCCCTAAGTACAGTCCTGGTCATCTCCGCCCCTTTACCCATTCTGTTCCTGGGAACTGGGATAAATAATTGGACTGGTTTGGCTCCGTTCCATCTTTGTTCCTCTTGGAAGGAAGCTAGGCTCAGGGGGCGGGCAACTCTCCTCCTGGGGTGTGGGGAGGTTGCCCTGGTCCAGCCTGGTGAGCAAAGGCTGCCTGACTCTGGGGTTCAATGACCCAGACTCTTGGCTACAAGACCAAAGCCACACCCCACCTGGCCTCTACCATAATAAAGGCAACCTCTTGGCCTCCCTTTGTCTCGTTTACTTCTTATCTCAGTTTGTTCAGATCCTGGGCATGGTAGAAGGAGGCTAATTACTGGGGAGAACGAGAGTGAGGAGGCCAGGCTCAGAGATCCCAAACCAAAGAAAGAACTAGGAAGGCATTTTAGGGTTGGAGGTTTGGAAGCTTAGAGCTCCGACATGCTTGTGTTTCAGATGAAGAAACTGAATCCCAGAAAAGAACCTCAATCTGCTTAAGATTCAGAGCAAGACCTCTTAGTTCTCCTGACACTCCACCACAGAGCTGCAAGCAGCATGGTATGGCTTTATATGTATCTTTTTAAAAAACTCAAACAACCATTTAAAAAAAAAAATCCCAAATAAATGGAAATCCCAAACCCAAGCAGCTACATAAAAAGATACACAAACACATAAGCACACACTCTCACTCTCTCTCTTTCTGAAGGTTGCTTGGTTATTAGGCAGATCCACTTAATCATATATATATATATATACCTATTATTCTAAGAAGAATGGGCGATTTTCATTTGGTTCCCAAATACAGGAAACCCATGCAGCCCTGACTGACCAGGGGACACCCAGATGTGGCTCACTGGACCAGGCTGCCTTGACCATCCGTGGGGACTCAGCCTGGACTCAGCCCTCTGAAGTGACGTTAGAGCACCACTCGTGGCGGCAGGGGCTAAGATCCACAGACTGTGTTCGACCTTGGCTCTGCACGGGGACTATCTCTGTGGGGCAGCTACAGTGGGAAACTTGGGAGCCCCAACTTAGTCACAAATTCAGTCGGAAGAAATGAGTTCTAAAACTGAATGCACTCTATGTTCAGAGTAAGTGACTGATCAAGTCCCTACTTTTTGGGGGGGGTCATCTACATTCCTGTTCCCACATCTACATTCAGCCCATGAAAAATCAACAGGTGGCTCTAAATAGAACATACACACACACACAACTTACTTTCAGGCGGTTTTAGCAGAGCGTGGACTTGCCCCAAAGGGCCAAATATCAACAGAACCCCTCCTCTATATATTCCTTTCCAACAAAGGAAGGGCTGATGAGAGGAAGCCTACCATCTTGCATTTTCCTGAGGCCTACCCTCAGAGGAAAGTGGAGCAGCACTCTGGACTAGACTGATGCCTTCTATCAGGCACGTGGAAAAGTAGGGCCCAGAAAGGCTGATGGACAGGGCAGGGGCAAGGGCAGGGCACACTACCTCTACGAGTGAGACATAGGAGAGTGTCCCAGCTGCCCAGAATCTGCCCTGACGTCCAGGGCTAGGGCCTCACCTGTCTGCTTCCCGGAACATGTCCCTCTCCCTCTGGGAATGCATGTCCTGGATGATGGCAGCCACAGTTTTCCCAGGTTTCTAGGCAAAGTCAGAGAGGTCATCATCAGACCAGAGGTGGCCATACAAATGCCAAAGAGAAGCAACGAGGACTTGGGTCCATGGCCTGGTCCTCCCAAAGGGAAAAAGTACCTTCCTAGAGGAAGAAAAAGTTTAATCCAGGGCATGAGGAGGGTGAGCATAATGCTGAATGGAGTGGCCCTGACATTTTGGGTGCCTCTTTATCATAGAACATTTTGAACATACGCAAAAGCACAGAGAATGGTATATTGAACTTTCATGCTCCATTTCCATTGTCAACAGTTCTGATCAGTCTAGTTCCTCTGTACTCCACCCTTTTCCCCACCCCACAGAATACTTTGAAGCAAATCCCACACATAGGATCTTTTCATCCATCCTATGAGGACACTGACGTGGCTCAATAACCCCACAGGGGGACCATCCATGGTGCTCATGGTCAACACATCTTGCTGCGTTTCAGACAAGGGTGAGAGTCCAAATCCCATACTGTCCCAGGGAAGCACTGGCATACTAGAGGGATGGACCTGGACTTAAGGATCTCAACCCAGGGAGAACAGCCCAGCTCCGCCTCCAGCCGGCTGGGTGATCTGGGGTCAAGGCTTGCTATCTGTGCGAGACTCACTTTCTCCACCTGTAAAGGTGAGATAATGAGGCCTATCTGGCATCCACCAGTAGCCTCGGGGCATGGCGGGCTACGCTGAGAAAAGCCACAGGCGCTGGGCCTACATAAAAGGAGCTGCTGGAGGGTTTCCTCTGACCCCTCTGTGGGCTGTTTTCCATGCCTCAAAAGTCCCGGGAAGATGCTGAAACCTTCAGTATGAGCCCTGAACCTGTCACAGCCAGGCCCTGTCAGAGCAGCCGTGATCCTTCTCGACATTACGGTGCTTTCCAGGGTCTCCATCACTTCTCACCTGACTCCTTCCACCCGGATACCCTCTCTGTTTAGCTGATTCACCACAGCCTTCAAGCCCTACTTGGTGATGGTTTCCCCTTCTTTACACAAGCAAGTCACAAACTGCCTTTTGTCCCTGGACTTCTAGGAGCTCCGTACTGATGCACTCATGTTCAAGTCTTACATACTTTCCACAAGAATAGCCTGTCTCTTCAGTTACACAGCAAACTCTCCCCAAGTGAGGACCAAGCCTCCTATTCCCTGTAGCTCTCAGCACCACATCTTATCTGCAGAAGACCCCCAGTTACCATTTGCTGACTGACTCTTCCTGAGAGCACCATGGAACATACCCAAGAGACCCTCTCTGTGGCTGGGAGGCTGGCGAGACAAGTGCTCTGAAACCAGGCCCTCTGCCCCCAAACCACCTAGGACCCTCAACCCCACCCCAAATCCACTGGGATTTGGGAAGGGAAATCTCTGGTCAAGAGAACCTGAAAACTCCCCTGACGATTCTCTGATGCAATAACTGGGAGACACTGGTTCAAATTAGCCCAAGTTCCCCTCCGCATGTAAGACGCTATGGTTCTGGGGAAGTCTCTCTAGAACAACCCAGAACAGCTCTTTCTTCTCATCTAGGTCTGCCACAAGAAAAAACTCACTTTTTTTATTGATCCTTCAGATTTGCTCTTTCTCATTTATTCCATGTATTTGCGGGACACCTGTTATGTGAAAGGTTCTGCCCCAAGTGCCCTGAGGAATAGAGCCTCTGCCACAAAGAGGGTACAGGGAGACATGATGGCCAGCATGAGGATAGGAGAGGAGAGGTACCTTAAATCTCTCCTTTCTCTCCCTCCACTTTGCCTGGTGAGCCAAAGGTAAAGTTAGAGGAAGACACATCAAAATTTCCCCCTACCTCTGCAAGCTCTGGTGGGACCCCAGGTGGTGGCCCCTTTGGCCCAGAGACACAGACGGATACGGTGTTTTGCCGTCTACTTCCCCAGTAGCATTGCCCCTCTTCTACCCCTGCCCTGAGGTGACACAGGCCTGGCCAACCACAGCATGGCCTTCCCTGGCCACAGAGATTGGTTCAGGGAAGGACATGTGTCCCAAACGAGCCCGATCACAGTGCCGCTCAGGACATCTGAGGAAGCTTCTCGGAAACACTCCAGCTCTCTTGTTGAAGGAACAGGGAGGATGAAAAGCCAGACCTGCTGCAGTCAATGAAGCCATCACGCCACCTAGAGGAGGGAGGTGGGGCTGCCCGGGGCCATCCCAGGGAGACCCCCCCCACAAAAACGAAGCAAAGTGAGCAGAAGGCAGAGTGGAGAGGAGCCAAGCCCTAATGATATCACTGAGGGCCCGAAGCCAGCTGCATCCGCAGCCAGGGCTACTCCTGGACTTTTCATTTACACGAGCCAATAAATTCAATCTTTTTTTTTTTTTTACTTTAGTCCATAAGCTTAAATGAGATCATTTTCTGTCACTTGCAGAGAAAGTCCTAGCTGATTCATGTCAACATAGGGACCATGATGCATGCATTCCCATGCAGCTGAAGTGGGTTTTGAGATGCTTTCACAGGAGAGGCACTGTGACAGCTTGGGAGCAGAAAATCCTTTGTAAAGGGCAGAAAACAATGTGTTCTAGACCCTTGCTGCTTACAGTGTGCTGTGAGAACCGGCAACACCACCTGGGAGCGCGGTGGAAAGGCAGAATCACAGCCCTGCCAGAAAATTTTAACAGGACCTGCAAGTGATTTGTACGCACACTAAAGTTCGAGAAGCTCTGTTAGAGTACTATCTGCTGCTTACGGGCTGGATGACTATAAGCAGATTACCTGATTTCTCATGTGGACAGTGGTAATCCTACCAACACAATATAGAGATGCAGACGTATACAAAGCCAAAACAGTCCTAGGTTTTCATCACGGCTCTTCCAGTACCTATGATCTTGCGCAAGTCACTGAACTTCTTTGGGCCTCCTCTTCCTTATCTGTAAAACTGAGATAACGAATATCCTTCTGACAGGACTGATGTCAGGATTAGAGTAGATAATGTACATGAAGTGTCTGGGGCATGATCTGACCCAGAGCACCAGGACTCAATTAAAAGTACCTGTTCTTGTTACTATTGTTGTACTGTTATAATTACTGTTATTATCCACCCTACACACCTCACAGGGGAAGGTGAATGCAAGACTCAAAGAGATAATACATGGGGGGGAAAAAGTGCTTAAAACCAAAAAGCTCAAGGTAGAGTCCTTTCCTATCTGGTGAACTGAGGTTCACACAGGTGAAGCACCTTGTCCAAGCTCATCAAAGCAGGACGAGGTAAAGCCAAGGTAGCACGAGCACCCTCCCATCTGGAATAGGTCACATGGTTGTCGATGGTTCTGTTTTCCCGTTCTTCCTCACACCAGACTGTGAGCTCCTCGACCAGCTTGCTAGGTCTAAACCATGGTGCCTGGCCCAGTTCCTGCCCCCAGTGGGCACTCAGCAAACATGTGCTGAATACAGACCTTGACCATCTGACCTCTTTAACCTATGGTGTTGTACTACCCCAAACCATTTCCCACAGTAAGGTACTACGGTGCCTTAGTACCTTAAAAAGCTGAGTACTCCTGCTAATCCTAATTAGAATCTTACAACAACATCTCATTTACAGACCGAAGATCCACCGGGAATTTAGTGCAGAAATTCAATTCTAGCCTCCAGGGGAGAATCCAGGAGAATAGAAACTTTGGCTGCAAACAGAATGAGATGGGATCTTCCATTTGTCTGAGAAAAGCAACATGCTTTCACTCCCCAGGGGAAAATAAAAATGCCAGGTTCTGCTAGAATTGTTGGCAAAGGAACTTCAGAAGCAATACTGCAAGCAAAGCAGAATCAAGGCTTTGGCAACATTACCATCTACACATGTAGACTTGTCAGAATGCCACTCCTAGCTAGCAACAACCACTGAGCCTTTGTCTCCTGCCTTCAATCTTTTTTTTTTTTTAAAGATTTTATTTATTTATTTGAGAGAGAGAGAATGAGAGAGAGCACATGAGAGGGGGGAGGGTCAGAGGGAGAAGCAGACTCCCTGCTGAGCAGGGAGCCCGATGCGGGACTCAATCCAGGGACTCCAGGATCATGACCTGAGCTGAAGGCAGTCGCTTAACCAAATGAGCCACCCAGGCGCCCTCCTGCCTTCAATCTTGAAGGCAGATTCAAGGTTGTGGGTCTTGAACAAAATGGACCCTCAGTAAATGTGGTGATAAGCTGAAGCAAACTGGTAGGGCCCTATTACAATGGGACAGTAGACAGCACAAAATAAGAAGTAGATTTGAATACAAATATACCAATTTAATTACAATAAATCCAAATGGACTAAGGGCTCCAGTTAATTGAACTTCTTGCAAACCATGAAGAAGACACAATCTAAAGAAGAGCATGGGCAAATGACCTTAAAAGGAACGTTCCACTACAGAAGATCCAAATGGAATGGCCAATGAACATAGGAAAAAGGGATCACCTCAATTAGTAATCAGGACGATAAAAAAATAAAACCATGATGGGGTGCCTGGGTGGCTCAGTTGGTTAAGTGTCCGACTTTTGGTTTCTGCTCAGGTCATGATCTCAGGGTCTTGAGATGGAGCCTCGTGTCAGGCTCCCTGCTCAGCGGGGAATCTGCTTCTCTCCTTCTCCCTCTCCTCCTCCCCCCACTCATGTGTGTGCTCTCTCTTTCTAAAATAAATAAATAAATCTTAAAAAAAAAAAAGAAAAAGAAAACCATGATAAACCAATATACTCTCCCAGATAGACAAAAATTAAAAGGTCATATAACAAAATGTGAGTAACAATGCATACCACTAAAAACTTTTACACTAGTAGGAATGTAAATCTGGGACAACTAATTTTGAAAAGGGCTTGCTAGTAAACTTCAGGGTAAGCATGCCTTGAGATGTAGCAATTCCACTCCTAATTATGTGTGTGCCCCTAGTTACACGTTTGTGTACATATGTACCAGGAGTAACTTGTCCCTAATACCCTAAAACTGGAAACAGCCCAAATGTCCATCAACAGCAGAATGTATAAATAAATTCATAGTCATACAACAGAAATTTATGTAACAGTGAAAATAAATAGACACACCCAGCATGGATGGTAGTGTTGAATGAAAGAACACAAAGAGTATAATTCCATTCATGTAAAGTTCAAAATTAGGCAAAACTAAATGATAATGTTAAGGGAGGCAGAAATGGGTTGTAGAACTACAAGGAAAAGCAAAGAAAGGATCATCCTCAAAGTCAGGAGAGTGGAGAAGGAGGGGTGGAGCTTGACGAGGGACTCAAAGGGACTTCTGGGTGCCGCTGGTGTTGTAGTTCTTGACTTTGGTGGTGGTTTTATGGGATTTATGGGATTTCAACCATTACTACTTAAAAAAAATTTTTTAAGTATTTATTTATTTATTTGAGGAGTGGGGGAAGCAGGGGGGTGGACAAGCGGACTCCACACTGAGCACAGAGCCCAACGAGGGGCTTGAGATCATTACCTGAGCCAAAATCAAGAGTCGGAGGCTTAACGGACTGAGCCACCCCGGTACCCCCATTATTACTTTTTAAGCTATACAGTACATAATTAGTCATTTTTCTGAATAAAATAAGGAAGAAAGGAAAGAAAAGAAAAAAGAGAGAAATGTAGAACAAGCTGAAACAGAAACAAAAGCCCTATTTGGAATTACCTGAATTCATCCCTGACAGTCATTCTGACAATGGCCAATTCAGTCATGTGCTGCTTAGAAGGATTTCTATGGGGCTTAAGACATAATTATAGAGGACAGAGGAGAGAATAAGAGATCAAGGTGGGGTGGTGATGAGAGAGGAAGAGAAAGTTACTGAAGATCTCTTTGGGTAGAGAAGAAGGTTATATTTAGAGGTTTATGCTTGGAGCTCCCACCTCTGAAATGCAATCACCTCTCCCTTCTTCCTTCATCCTTCAAAAGACTGCCCTTGTAAAATCCTCCTTGGATCCCATGTAGCTAGTCATCCTGTCTCCAGCATCCCTTTGCATTTCGTAGTTACCTCAATAAGCATTTTTCTTGCCATGTTATAAAGGTTGGCCTTCCCGTGTGATATTCCCAAAGGCAGTAGGTAATCTTTGGATGTTTTCCTGTCCTCTCCTTCCCGCCAGCACTTAGGCCAGTGCCCCACAAGGAGACACTCAGCTGATGCTGTTGAATGACTAAACAATGAGAGAATGCTTTACCTTCAGCTGTAATTCCTTGTATCTCTTGGACATCCGAATGAGCAACTTCTCACCATTGATCACAGCAGATTTTTCTTGGTAATACTGGACCATGGCCTGGGCAGCTTCTGTGTAAGCCATCTCTAAAAAGGCCTAGGAAAAAAGGGAAGGACATAAGCTGAAGTTGACTTGAATGGTCTTTTGTTCTTGTTGGGGGGGGGGGGGCGCAAGGGAAAGGGAGGGAGAGAGAATCTTGAGCAGGCTCCACACCCAGCACAGAGCCTGATGCGGGTCAGATCATGACCCGAGCTGAAATCAAGAGTCAGATGCTTAACCCCCTGAGCCACCCAGGCGCCCCTGACTTGAATGGTCTTAAACAAAATTCAGTACTATGTATAATTCCATGTCTATGAAGTTCAAGATAGGCAAAATGAATCAATACTGATAGAAGTTAGAGCTGAGCTTCCCTCTGGGGCAGGGGTGGGGTTCTGACTGGGTGGGGCATGAGGAAACCCTCTGAGGTTCTCTGGAAATGTTCTCTATCCTGACCTTCGTGGTAATTACATGGGTGTACACATGTAGAAAATTAATGGAATTGTACACTTAAGACTAGTACACTTTAGAGTATGTATTTTATATCTCAATAAAAAGAAAAAAGATCAGTACAAGAAGCTGTCTTTGATCCCATCTGTTCAAAGAGACCTATTTATTAACTTCACCCAAAGAGCTCATTATGAGATGGCCCCTCTCCTGATCCCCCTGGTTACCAATAATTCGTAAATTATGTATATCCATCCTGGGCTGCATCATGCCACAGGAGCCCCCTGGGATGGGAGGATCCATTAACCCACAGTTCCCTGAGGCGCTGTAGTGGGGAGAGCAAGTCTATTGTACAAGTGACCTTGGGCTGATCCTTACAAAATATGCTATTTTGTTACAATGAGGGCAGGAGACAGAGACCCAGCCATGAGTCTTTGAGCTCTCACTTTCTTGGCAAAGGAAGAAAAATACTAAACAACTCAGGGGCTCCCAAGGCTTGAAAGAAGGCCGTGGCTTTTTAAGTTTCAGAGAGAAGAAAACCCTCAGTTATATCTCTACAGCGTTCTCCCTCTTTATTTAACTGTTCTGATAAAACACAAGAAAATGGGCTTTTGCATTCAATCAGTGTCTCCAGAGAGTGTCTAAATAGACTGTTTTGACTGACCCGCTAGTTTACCCCAATAGCTGCTGTGGTGGATTCATCCTGTTACTATTGCTTAGATTTGTTTGGTGTGTACTCTATGGACAGCACACAATCCCTCGATGTTGAAAAGGGAAAGTGGTCTGTGAGAAGGGAGCCCTCACTGCAAGCCCCTACACTCCCAGTTCCTTGAGCGGAGTGGGCTAACCAAGCTTGTCTTCCCTCCTTCCCTCACATCTGTTTCTGAATTTCAGAGATGCTTTTCCCTGCTGTCACAGTCTATGGCAGATATGTGGGAGATGAAGAAGTCAAGATTCTTTAGGGTATTATTTCAGATCCTGCCACCCAGCTTTCTAAGTGCCTTTTGCTTGATGCAAACATTTTAGCACCTCCAGCTCTCAACTGTCAAATGGAAATAATACCAATTCAGGGAATCTCACTGCATTAATGTTACAAGCTGAATTTTGTACATTTACCCAAAATAGAATTCTGAACAGTCAGAACAAAGGGACTAAGGGAGTAGTCTAAGCCCATGTTGATGGAGGAAGACCACCGATGATCTGATGTGGCTCAGAGTCTCTAAAGTTCATGCATTCATTAAGAAAAGAACTTCCCGGGGAGCCTGGATGGCTCAGCCAGTTGAGTGCCCTACTCTTGGTTTTGGCTCGGGTCATGATCTCAAGGTGGTGGGATCGAGTCCCGCACCATGCTCTGTGTGCAGTGTGAAGTCCACTTGAGATTCTTTCCCTCTCCCTCCCTCTGTGCCCCTCCCCTTGCTCACACACGTTCTCTCTAAATAAATAAATAAATAAATAAATAAAATCTTAAAAAATAAAAGAACGTCTATGTCTGCTCCTTTGGTTCATAAAGTAAAAATATTTATTATTAACAGTAAAAGATAAAATATTCTTATTCCTGACCATTTCTCTGTATAAACTCCTCCTTTGACCTTAGAAACAAAGACAGCCATATATATTAACCCTCAAGTTCTCACTCAACCCCCACGGGTTAAGGGTTCTTTTTCCTTTAGACTTACCAGGCACCCATCAATTCCCACCCACTCTCCTGCTACAAGACCCAAGGGCCTCAGATGCTAACACCAAAGATCTGTGAAAACATCTGTTCAGTCAGTTGTTGGCTCGCTCCAAATCCAGGCTCTCAGATACGAGAAGCTTAGATGGTAAAACCGTAGCATTAGCTCAGGGGGTTCGTAACACAGTGAAAAGACTCAAGTCCATGGGTTTCTATTTCGGGGGCCAGTTAGCTTTTCTGTGTTAATGAGTCCCTCATTCCAAAGTACCTCCTTACCTCCAGGCAACTCACAGAGGCCTGTACCCACCACAAGGAGGGTAAGTTGAGACAGGGTAAACAAAACACCGCCACCAAACAAAAACCTCTGTGCTGTACCAACAAGAGGCCCAGCTGTGTATTACCTCTTTATTTTAAGAATAGCTTCTTTTTTTTTTTTTAATATTTTATTTATTTGAGAGAGAGAGAGAGCAGAGCAGGAGGGAGGGGCAGAGAGAGAAGCAGGTTCCCCACTGAGCAGGGAGCCCAATATGGGGCTTGATCTTGGGACCCTGGGATCATGATCTGAGCTGAAGGCAGCCGTTAAACAGACTGAGCCACCTAGGAGCCCCAAGAATACCTTCTTTAAAAAAAAAAAAAGATTTCATTTATTTATTTGTCAGAGGGAGAGAGCACACAAGCAGGGGGAGTGGCGGGCAGAGGGAGAAGCAGACTCCCCGCTGAGCAAGGAGCCCACTGTGGGACTCAATCCCAGGGCCCTGAGATCATGACCTGAGCTGAGGGCAGACGTTTAACTGACTGAGCCACCCAGGTGTCCCCCAAGAATAGCTTCTTTAAAAAAAAATTATATAGTTCCCTCCACCAATGTGTGGTCTATCTGGTATGTGTGAAAGTGCCCAAACCTACCTGATTAGTGGACTTCATGAGGATGTAATTAGTGACCTTTCCAAAGGGCAGCCCCAGGTTAATGACGTCATTCTCCGTGCAGCTTCCTTCAGGGAGATTGCAGATGTGCACCACGCGCCCAGCACCCGTTTTCCGCTGCGCAAACTAATGGGAACAGAGAGCTGTGGCCGGTCTTCAAAATACATTTCCCTCTGGCCTTCTGCCCCAGATGGTCCTAATGACCATCTTCACCCCAATAATGATTGCAAAAGGATAACTTATGAAATTAATGCAGAAAAAGAATCCATTCCCAGACATGTATATCAATTTTATGCCACCCCATTACAGAAGAGATTTGCAACATTTTAATGAACAATCACATCCAGGACCGTCAGAGATGTGAACACATGGGCTTATCCGTGTGTCACTGGTGGGAGGCTGTACAGCTATGGTCTCTTGATATTAAGAGCAATATTTAATAAAACTTAAAGTACAGATAGCCCATGATCTTGCCATCCCACTTTTGGAAATCTATCTTACAGAAATAAATGCACCAATATATAAACACCTATGTTCAAGGACACTGCAGTTATTTATAAGGTGGCAAAAAATTCTGGAAACAGGCTGCGTGTCCAAGAATAGGGGAATGTTTGAGTAAATGATGGTTCAAGCATACAATGGAAGACGACAGACCCATTAAAAGGCAGAGGTAAATGAACTGAGAAGGAATAATTTTAAGATAGTTAAGCAAAAAAACCCCAAGTTGTCAGATAACACGCATAGGACAATGCCTTTTTTGTTAAACAAAACAAAAAATCAGTACATGAAAAAGAGACACATCAAGCAAGTGTTGTGAAGGTTTTTTTTTTTTTTTAAAGATTTTATTTATTTATTTGATAGAGACACAGCGAGAGAGGGAACGCAAGCAGGGGGAGTGGCTTCCCGCCGAGCAGGGAGCCGGATGCGGGGCTCGATCCCAGGACCCCCGATCACGACCCGAGCCAAAGGCAGACGCTTAACGACTGAGCCACCCAGGCGCCCCTGAAGTTTTGATCATTGTTGGAACTCGGGGTTAAATTATACTAGTCTGTACTGTTCTATACGTTTGAAATTTTTCATAATGAAAAAATTTTCAAGGATATTAGCACAGACAGAGAAAGGCAGGCAGGGGAGGATACCTATCAACTTGTCAACACTAGTTATCTTCAAAGAGCAGAACTGGAAAGAAGTAGGAGGAAAGAGGTTTTTAACATACCTCATATTGTGTGACTACAGAAAAAAGAGCACAGCAAGGATTTGTGGGAACCTTATATACAGACGCCCATGACAACAACCTGTGGTTTAGGGCAGTGGCTTTCACAACTGTGTTAGCCTTGAATCCTCCCCTCAAATACAAGCTTGCTCACCGGCCCAATATATTCCACAAATAAGAGGAGACGACAAACCCCGGGGTCCAGCCCCCTGCCGCCGCCACCAGCCAGCAGCCCCAAAGGACCTCTGAGGAGCATGGTTTGGAAGCTAAGACCGGGGCCTAATCCAAACTCTGGGAGGAAGTGCATCTGTTTTGTCTGTGCAAACCTGAATCAGCCTGGGGTCTCTGGGAGGTTCAAGAATTAGCACCCAGAAGCTAATCCAGTGTGCAAGAGAAGGATGCAATTTTCCAAACCTGGAACGTGGTCTAATAGCATAGCCCACATTTGCATAATCACCATATTCTATGATCAAGTGAACTTCAACATCAATTACATTTGATGTGGGTCTTGTCCCTCGCGAGGGCTAATATTTGGGTGATTCTATCACAAAAGCCCTCACTTGTCTCATCTGGGCTGAGGACAATTAGAGTCAGTAAGAATTTCCTTTCATGGCTCAGCCCTGAATTGGAGAAACCCAAATGCCCCTTGCAGATCTCCCCCTGCACCATGTCCAGAGGTCAAGAACTTTCCCAAAAAGGAACGGGATTGAGCGTTAAGGCCCAGGCAGCTCCTAGCGCAAACCTGCACCTCCAAGGAGTGCAAACAGAGCTCTTTGTAAGCTCTGAGACTTGGCGTCTGAGCTTGGCTAATAAGAACTGAACTCTTCTCCAGGATGACTACCTAAGATGCAGGATCTCTGTCTCTCCTTTAGGGTGAGCGGGCCACACAAAGACCACAGACGCAGCTGAGCTCTGAGGCAGGGCAAAGCGGCTGGTCCTCAGAGTTTATCAACAGGCAGGCCGAGCTGGGTGCTCTGCCTGGCCTCCTCCAAGCAAGCATGCTTCTGCCCCATGTGACACTGCTGTGGTCAGCCTGGGCTAAATCGTGCTTGGACGACAGGGCAGACAGACAAAACCACGGGGCCATTCTGGGCCGCTCCCTGCTCCTTGCCTGTCCAGTTGCCTAGTGACCAGCATAAAGGCCAGCACCTCTGTCACTGTCTCCTCCGGGCTGGGAAAAGCTGCCCACAAGGCTTGTACCCGAGCTGCTGGGCAGGGGAACAGGCCTCCTGAAGAGTAAGCACCCCCTCAGCTGCCAGTCACCAAAGCGCAAGAGGAATTCATGCCGTGGACACTGTTCGGTCCTAAAATGAATGGGTCTCAGCTAAGGTTTACTCTCAAGTTTTAAAAATATATTTCATGAGCACTTTCTTCTCCCAAGATTTTTAATCAGAAATAAAAGTTGGATTTTATCGATTCCCTTGTTGTCACTTAATATCACATCGTCATGAGACTTTTAGCAGCCTCCCAGCTACTTATACTAATTTGAGCTTCTCAGCTGGTGGTGGGGCCCGTGGGTCTGCACTTGACTGACTCAGGGTGGAGGTCAAGGACCTCCAGTGGACCACCAGCGGCCTCTTCATTTCAACCGGTTTACTTCCATTTCTCATTTTCTGAAGTGACCCATGAAATGAAAATTTTGAGGACTGAAAAATCTTGAGAATCGCCATGTTAATGGTTTGTTTGTGTTGTGTCTGGCTTCAGGGCAAGTGAGAAACCCTATCTGGTTAGAAAAAAAAACAAAAAACACAACATACTTTATGTGTTATATTCTTTTGTAAATATTTGATTTAGGATAGTTTGGTCTACGTTCTTTTCTGTCATAAATCTAAAATACCTTTCCATTAAACTCAATTAGGTTCAAAGTCATATTTGATTCATAACAGGTGTCCAGTTATATGCATAAGCATTCTAATCTATTCTTGAGACCGTTTATATAAACACGGCTATTATTTGCTTTATGCTCTATGGCAGATCCGAACAATGAGGCAGAAAAAGGGAGGGAGGAGAGTGGGACAGGGAGAGGACGGGGGAATGGGGTCTTCAGCGGAACAGCTAGAGTAAAATTTGTCCACAGGGGGCACAGATGACCCTGAGTGCCTTTGAGTATGCCGTATGATGCTATACACTAATTCCCAGCCTGGGTTTTCTAATGAGTCCTTAAGGGTCTTTGAAGGTAATAGTATTTCAAAGGAGGGTCATGATTTTTGACATTTAAAAAACCTGAGTTGAGTCTCTTTATTCTATCAATATGGTAACCCTGGTTAGATCTTAAGCTGATGAGAAATTCTGAATGGTATGTCTGTGTTTTTGATTAATAAAAATGGGTAACTAGTTAATTACTCACTAATATAAGTACTTTCTTTGGCAGATACAGTACTTTTCCAAACATGGCATGCAGGGCAGTGGCTGCATGAGGTAGGTAGGAGTTGATGATGAAGGGGTTGGGCTGTAAGAAGCGTGGGGCTTCCAGATGTAGTGGGAGACAGGGGACCTGGATCCGAGTCCCAGCCTGGCCACTGGTTGGGTGCATGACAAGGAAAAACTCATTTTCCTCTCTGAGCCTCAGTTTCCCAATGTCTGGAATGAGGGAGGTAACCTATATGTCGAGAGTCCTTTCCAGATGTGAAATATCTGTGTTTGTATGGTTCTAAATTCTACAATTCCACTCCTCCCAGAAGACTTGCCCAGCTAAACCCTAGGATCTAAGACAATGATAATCTTCCCCAACTGTGTTGGGCATAAGCAGGAAACCTGTGTCTTTCCCACCCGCCGTCCCAGTGAATGTAATGTTTTTGCCCTCCCTCTCTATGTGATCAGCTGGTTTCAGCATATGCACATGTTCACAAGCATGTTCATCCTGCAGATGTGCCTATGTTGGGGGTGGTCTCATCTTTACAGGGCTGAAGATAAGCTCCAAGCAGTGAGCACCTTGCTGAAGAGCGAGCCCTGCCACTCCCTGAATGACTGTGCCTGCAGCGCCTAGAAGAGGTGAGATGATATATTGGGATGAACTAAAGAGGCAGGTCTGGTGCCTCCCTGGGGACAGACACACACCAAGTCTGGGCCGTAAGTTCTCCAGGGACCAAGGCCAGGCAGTGAGCATCAGACAAGACCTGGATCTGCGTCTACACCCCAGTGACTAACCCTGGGGAAGTTTCTGAATTTCTCCAAGCCTGAGTTTGCTTATCTATAAAACAGGGAAAATAAAAATTGATTTCACAGGACCCTTTAGAAGACAAAAATGCTATAAAGTATGTAAATTGCCTTGGTACGATGCCTGGCATCCAACAGGCTCCTTAAAATATATATGTCTCCTTCATTCCCCCAACAGTTAAAGGATATGCTATGATGGTCCCCGACTGAGAAAAAAAATTCAACTGTACTGTGATTATGTAAGAGAAAGTCCGTGTTCCTTTTTTTTTTTTAAGATTTTATTTATTTATTTGAGATACAGAGACACAGCGAGAGAGGGAACACAAGCAGGGGGAGTGGGAGAGGGAGAAGCAGGCTTTCCACTGAGCTGGGAACCCGATGCAGGGCTCGATCCCAGGACCCTGGGATCATGACCTGAGCTGAAGGCAGATGCTTAACGACTGAGCCACCCAGGCGCCCCGAGAAGGTCTGTGTTCTTAAGAAATTCATGCTGACATAGTTAGGGGTGAAGAGGTACAGTGTCTCCAGTGGTTCAGAAAAAAAAAATGCATAAATGATTAGACGGATGGATGGATGAATAGACAGATAGATTAAGATGGATGAACAGAAGGACAAGAGAGAGAGATTGATAGAGAATGATAAACAGGCCAAAATGTAAAGGAGTAGTGAATCTGGGCAAAAGATACACCTTTAAGGCAACTTTTGTGTAAATCTGAAATATATTAAAAGTAAAAGTTATAGGGCGCCTGGGTGGCTC